TTGCTCTGGTTAACCTAAAGTGTTTTTGTGGCACTCTGATTCTCACCTAGGGTGAGTTAGTTGTATGTGCACCATTAATTCATTTATCCCCAAGCTTCCAGCACTGGTCAGAGTTGCCATTGTTGTTCCTATGGATGACATAATATATTTTTCTTTCTCCTTCATTCTCTTCTTTGCCGCTTTCTTCTCCCTATCTCTGATTGTCTAAGGCTGCTTGTATCCGACTGTGATCACGAGGTCAGGATCATTTAGTGACGTCATTTCCTGTGTCTCATCTCTATCCTGGCCTTCCTCTCCCCCAGTCTCTCTGATCCTCACTAGAGAAGCTGAAAGAGATCTCTGAGGGAAGAGCCAGGTGCTGTCCCAGAAAGTCCCTTCCTGTCCTCCTTTCCATAAAGACCATTTCTAGTTATGCCTCTTACCAAGTGGGTTCTATTTAGGGGTCAGAGGCTGACCCTCCTTCACACACTAATGTTGGGGACTGGCACAGCCCATACCAGGCCCCTAGTCTACCTAAAATTCTGGGATCCAGCCTTGAAATCTCCTCTGTGCTGATGGCAAAGTGGCTCAGTATGTAGAGGAACATTTCAAGAACTACAGGGCTCCAAGACCTTCACCAAAAAAGGGTCTCTTCCTTTATATGAGACAGAAATGGCACTTTCATCCAATCAGCTATCTAAGTAAAACCTTTGGAGTGATCTTAACTTCATTTCCTTCATGTGATCTTGCACCAGTTCAGCTCTGCTTCTAAAACAGATCCGTGGCTACCAGCCTGGCCCAAGTCCCCATCATCTCTCACCTAGATAATAACAGGAACCTCTGAACTACTCTCCCTGCCTTTTTCTGGTTTACCTCTGAGAGTTATCTTTAAAAACATAAATCCGGTAGTGACATCAATGTGATTTACTGTATCAATATACTAAAAAAAAAAAAATCTCAATAGATGCAGAGAAAGCATTTGACATATTTTAACTTCTATTTATGATTTAAAACTTTTGAGAAACTATGAACATCCTCAATTTGATGAAGGACATTTATATCGATATGTAACATATTTTTAAATGGTGAAAGACTGAATGATTTATCCCAAAAATCAGGATCAAGACAAAGGTGCCAGTTCTCCCACTTTTATTCAATATTGTACTAAAACCCCTAGCAAGAAATAATGACATTTCGATTCAACATTGTATTAGAAAAGCAAAGTACTAAAAACAAATAAAAGGTATATATATAGGAAAGAAACAAGTAAAACTGTTTTACTGACAAACAACATCTGCAGTAAAATAAAACTCAAGGAATTGACAAAATATCTCATAAGTAATTTTAGCAAGGCCAAAGTGTCCAAAGTCAATATGAAAAAATCAACTGCATGTCTAGCAATGAACAATTGAAAATAGGTATTTTTAAAAATACATATTTTAAATTTATCCCTAAAAACAGGACATTTTTAGGGATAAATCTAATAGAATGTATGTAAGAGCTATACACTGCAAACTAAAAAACGTTTCTGAGAGAAATTAAAGAAGACCTAAAAAAATAGAGAGATAGACCATGTTCATGGATCATGAGACTCAATATTGTTTATTTCTCCCCATATTGATCTAAATATTTTTCGCAATCCTAATCAAAATTCTATCCGTCCTTTTTTTTGTAGACATTAACAAGCTCATCTAGCTTGGTGGCTCATTTCTGTAATCCTTAGCACTTACTAAAATGTGGATTCCTTATTAGAATCCTTATGTTTTGTTCATCAGAATTTGTTCCTACTTTTTCACAGATTTGTTCAGAACTACCAGCACTTAGCCCAGATCTTGCATATAGGAGGCCCTCAAAATTATTTGTTGAAAATTATTACTTATTGAAAATTTCTTCAGAAGGTTAACAGAGCTGCCATATGACCCAGCAATTCCACTCCTAAGAATATCCCCAAAAGAACTGAAAATATATGCTCACACAAAAACTTGTGCATTCATGTTGATGGCACTATTATTCATGATAGCCTAAAAGGGGAAACAATTCAAACAGCCATCGCCTGATGAATGGATAACTAAATGTGGCATATCCATATAATGGAGTATTACCCACAGTTATTCACAATAAAAGGAAATGAAATACTACTGATATAAGAGTCAAGGCCAAGGGAAAACTTCCCCTTTACCCTCAGAAGTTTTGTGGAAAATCACTCACATGAGGCAGATTAATAGGAGAAAAGGCATATACATTTATTTGGTCATAGTTTTAGGTGACACAGGAGCCTTCAGAATGAAGACCCAAAGATACAGGGGAAGTTGTCCATTTTTTGCTTAGGTTCAACAAGGTATGGACAGCTCTGTAGAAATATGATTGGACAAAAAAGGTTGATGTAACGCTAATGGACTGAGTATGGAAATTCAGCAAGGTTGTTCATGTAGATTCTTCTTGGCCTCTTGAGCATGTGTTCCTTCTTTCTGGGCATGAGGGTCTAACGATCGGCAGTCAGACAAGGTAGGTCTGATCATGTTTTACTGCCAGTTTTTACACTGGTGTGTGGAGCAGGGAAGAGTGATACTTTTAGGTTTTATGTCTAGCTTTGGAGAAAAGGAGTTTCTATGACTTGCCTTGGAAAAGAGGGACTCCAGTCTCCACGGCAGCCTTGGGGGAGAATGGGACTAAGAAACAGGAGGGCAGGAGCAGGTCAGAGGAAAACTTTTGCTTCTGAGGTTTTTATTTTGAGGTGTTGTTTTCTGAGTCCCAACATAAGCCACAGCACAGATGGACCTTGAGAACATCATGATGCATGAAAGGAGCCAGCCACAGAAGACCACGTATAGGAAATGTCCAGAATAGAGAAATCGACAGACCAGACATGGAAAATAGATTTGTGGTTGCCTAGGGCTGGGGGAGGGAATCTGGGGAGAAAGGGGGAGTGACTGCTAAAGAGCAGGGTGTTTCTTTTGGGAGTGACAAAATTGTTCTAAAATGTATTGTGGTGATGGTTGATCTTACACAATGCTGAATATACCAAAACTGATATACTTTAAATGGGTGAATGGTAAGGTATGTAAATTCTATCTCAATAAAGCTGTTAAAATTGTATTATGAAATGAATGAATGGGTCTGCCCCTTCTGATCACCTCGTGGCTTTGGAGGAGACAAAACGGGGGGGCCCATGTCCCATGAGCTGGTCTCTGGGCCTAGAAACACACAATTGGCAGGTGGCAACTCATACTATTTGTGAACATGCACCCTCCCTGTCTAGGACCTCAGCCCGATGGCCTTTGGAAGTGCTGGGAGATGGTTGGAAGGGGGTCTTGGAGGGCCAGACAAGGTCCAGACTCAGGAAAAACTCCTGGCCATGTTCTCCCATCTCTCTGCATCTAGAACAAAGCATTCTTAGTCAGCTGGGCTCACCCCACCCGGGGTAATTACCCCTGGTTAGCCCCTCTGTGTGTGTCATCTGCACACGTGGGTAATTAAACTGAACCAGGGGCAGTGACTCAGCTGCTCTGCCTCACACCAGCCCTGGCCAAGTACAGACTGGGAGAACTGGCTCTGCCAGGCACTTGGGGTGAGTGGACAGCCAGGGTACCTGGTGCTGAGAGGAGGATAAGGTGGTGGCACATGAGGACTCTCTGGCTTCCTCACTCCTCACCCCAAAACTGGAACCCAGAGCAGTTGGGACTCAGGTGGGTCCAGACAGGGCTGAAGATGGCTGGCTGGTTAACCTTGGGGTTAGCCTTGAGGCCCTGAACTCACTCCTATGCCAGAGCCTGTGGTTTGGTGTTGAACCAAAGGAGCCTGGGGCAGCCTCAGACTCTGAGGTATGGGCTGAGGCCTTGGAGGATAGACCAAGCATAGGAAGTGGGTCTTTAGAATCCCGACCTCTCAAATGCTGTGCTACAAAGAGGGCTGCTCTGGAATCAGAAGTTTAAGGGAACAGCTTAGAAGAGAGGACCTCTGATGTTCCTTCTAGTCCCCATGTTCTGCGCATCCGATTGTTAATAGCCACTGCACACTTAGTCTATGGATGGCTCTACCCACATGATCTCATTTCATACCCACATCCCTATATAGTAGATGCTGTTCTCCCGTCTGGGTTACAGAGGAGGACAGCAGGGAGGCTTGAGAAGTCGATTATTTGCTCCAGGTCACAGGCCTTCCACATGGTGGTTCCTGTATTCAAATCCAGGTCTGCCTGACTCGGAGACCAAGGTCTCAACCATCCATTGCCCATACTCCTTAAATCTATAATTCTAGAAACCTAGACTCTCCTGGTTACTTTGAAGAAAGTACGTGTGAACCATCTCATGAAGGTAGAGCTATGATTCATTCAATCAGGGTTATTTTATAGGACACAGTAATTTTTCTTTGTGATGAGGAGACCAGAGGAAGCAATTAAGTTATTAAGCAACTATTTGTTTGACACATAGTAGAGATTCGATAAAGACTTACTGATTGACTAACTGATTGCTTAGATTTGTGTTAGACCTTCTGAGAAGATGCAAATGAATTATATCAATCAATTAGTAAGTATTTATGGAGTGCATGGTATAGGCAAAGTACTGGTCAGTGTTAACAAGCAGACCAGACTTCTTTGGATTTTTAAATTCTGGCAATTAATTCAGATAATAATACTGTCCAAATGGAATGAAATACATCTGTGAATCCAGCTTGACAGCAGCAAGTTTGTGACATTTGCTTTAGACTTTCTTAATATGTCAGAGAGGCCCAACACCCCAGGCTATTGAAAAACTTATGATTAAGAGAAAAATTGTATAATAAAGTTGTACAATACCATACACTACCATTTTCATTGATGTTATCTCATTCAATCTTTACAACCTGAGATAGATGTCATTCTCCCTGTTTTGTGGATGAAGAAACTGAGATTCAGATAGTAAGCTTGTCAGGAGTGTAATCAGAATTCCAACAGACGGTGGAGGAAACTGTGCACGCTACAGCATTTTAAAAAGCCATACTCTGGTCTACATTCTGAACCATTATGTTATATTGCCTTACAGATAGGGAGCTGTTTCCAACAGAAAACCCCACCATAGAGAAAACTGGAAGCTTGTCTGCACAAAGCATTTTCAAGTAACACTCCCCAAGAATCTCTGTGTGGACAGACCTTACTGAAGCTTCATGAATTCTCTGGAGGAAGAGATGATGAAAACGTTTCCATGTCTGAAGGTGATATTGAATTGGGAGACTGGACAGAGAGCACAGAGCAACATGAAAAGCAGTTTCAGAAGTCAGATGGAGTTGGATGCAAACCCCGTTTCCAGCACTTGTCAGCTATGTGGTCTTGGGCAAATTATCCCCCTTTTATTTTATTTTTTGAGATGAAGTCTCACTCTGTCACCCAGGCTGGAGTCACACACTCAGCACCATCTCAGCTCACTGCAACGCTTGCCTCTTGGGTTCAAGCAATTCTTGTGCCTCCCAGTAGCTGGGATTACAGGTGTGCACCACCATGCCTGGCTAATTTTTTTTTTTTTTTTAGTAGAGTTGGGTTTCACCATGCTGGGCAGACTGGTCTTGAACTCCTGACCTCAGGTCTCCTAAAGTGCTGGGATTACAGGCATGAGCTACTTACCCTTTTGGAGCCTCGGTTGCTTCTTCATCTGTAAAATGGGAATGAAAGTATGTATAAGGTCGCTATGAAGACACTGCACATAAAGAGGCTTCAATAAACATTAGCTATTGTTTTTCTAGCAGCCAGGCCCCAAGGTGAGGAGGGCAAGGATAAAGGGGCATGAGCCTCCTCACTGAAGGCAAAGTTCATGAGGGACAGGTACAGAGTCAGGCTGTTCCTGCTATATTTTAGCAGCCTGAGCGGCATGTGAACCATGACAGGTACACCATAAGGAATTGTTTATGGAATGCGTAAAAACTAAGCAAGAGTCAGGGGCTGAGGGAGTAGGTTTTGATTTGCTAAAGTGGAAGGGAGAACATCTCTGCAAAATGCATCATGACTCTCACCTTAGGGCCATAGGCCCTGAGCCAGATATTTTGACTCGAGGAAGTGGTCCAGGCAGTTATAACATAAAATTTTGAATGGAACCTACTTATGGGTGTTCCAAGGTGGTCACAGCCAGAAAGACCAATGGAATCTGGATGTTTTCAGGGAGGACTTTGGAATTCAACTGGAAACCTTTTCCTCTCCTTGGGTTGTGCCCCTCACTCAGTGCTTTCATGGTTACAGGGGCTCTATCAGGAGCTGCCAGAAACATCCTGACCCCTCTGTTTGGGAAAACGAAGGCTGAGAAGGAAAATAATAGAAATCTATAAACCCTCCAAGGCTGAACTGAATTCGGACCATTAGAAGAGGAGCATCTTAGAACTCACAAGTATTGTGTGAAGATAACTTATAGGAAGATCTGTTTGCAGAGAGTTTTAAACTTACAGTAAGAATGTCTACTGTCCTCATGATCCGTCTCACAAATCACTTGATCTTTAAGGGACAGGCAGAGCAGACACATCCTTGCTGGATCACAGTTGAGAGAACTAAAGTGAAGTGATTGACCAAGGTTCCACTTCTGGGGAGTAGCCAAGCCAGGGCTGGACCTAGGCCATGAAGTGTTGTCTCTCAGAAGTGCTACAGGTTGGAAGTAAAGACAGTTTCCGGGGAAGTTCATATCTCTTTTTATTGAGATGGAGTTTTGCTCTTGTTGCCCAGGCTGGAGTGCAATAGCACGATCTCGGCTCACTGCAACCTCTACCTCCCGAGTTCAAGCGATTCTCCTGCCTCAGCCTTCCGAGTAGGTGGAATTACAGGCACTCACCACCACACCTGGCTAATTATTTTGAGCTTTTTAGTAGAGATGGGGTTTCACCATGTTGACCAGGCTGGTCTTGAACTCCTGACCTCAGGTAATCCACCTGCCTTGGCCTCCCAAAGTGCTGGGATTATAGGCGTGAGTCACAGCACCCAGCCCGTGTTCATATTTTCATGAATGTTGTATCTATCGTAGCTGTGAAAGGACTGTGAGGCTGTCTGGAATATACTGTTAATGTTGTGAAGGGCATAGCTTTGGAGGCACTTTGCTGCTAGGCTTAGCCAAGTCTACAGTCCTGTGGCTCTGAGCAGGTTGTCAAGTCTGTCTGGGCTTTAGCAAGAATGTTACCTGTCCTATGTATCTTGGAGGAGTGTCCTGAGGACCAGATGAGATAAAGGAAAATAATGTGATATTACAAATCTTAATATCGCACTGGAAGGTATCACTGAAGGTCCTTTGGTACCTCCGCTGAAGACAGCCTCCTGGTCCTGTTTGCCTGTGGGCCTGACTCAGTGTGTATAAGCTTCTCTACCCAGGGATAAGTCAGATTAAGCTGGGTTAAAGGATGCAGAGTACACAGTCTCCTCCTGAGAGTTAGAGCAGGAGTGTAACACTCGGGTTAGTAAATGACCTTGGATTTTGTTCCACTTTTCTATGTGCACAGAAAAAAAAAGCATATTCCTTTAGATGAATTTGTTCTAAGCAGAAAAGTCCTTTGAGAGCTGAAAAAAGCAGAAAGGCTCATGTTTTCTTTCCAAACTCTAAAAAACTGTAAGAAATTAAATTGTGTAGCTGCATGCTCAAAGATCAGAAATTTATTACATTAACTAGGCTTGAAGTCTGGGTAACTTTGTGTGCTTTTTAAGTGATTCACATTTGAAAAGCAAAAAAATCAAAATGCATAAAATTTCCCTTTCACTGAGCAAACAATATAAGTGTCTGTCTTTGGGTGACAGTTGACAAAACACAGAATGATTAATATGAGGACCTGCAGGAGTTCACCCTCAGTGACTTCACACGCATCACCTGCTCGGATAAAAACACATCTGTCTGAAGCAGCTGAGAAATGCAACTGGGAACGGAATGGCATCAAAATCAAGAATTTCTTTTCAGATCCTGTGAGATGTAAAGAGGATAGGTAAAGGTTCTAACAAGAATGTACGAATTTAACATTTTAAATTTTATTATCAAAACAGTAGATTGACGTTAAGAAAATTAAAAAATGCAATGACTCATTATACAGCTCCATGCCGGCTGACACTGTTATGGTAAGAACATAGATGTGGAGACAGAAAACATAGCTTTGGAATGTATCAATGTAATGAATGTGAGAATTAGCTCCGTCCTTGGTAAACTGTTGACACTGGGAAGCGTATTTCTTTGAGACGTTGCTTCCTTGTTGCAAAACAAAGAGGGTAATAACAACTGTATTCAACTGTGCTTAGAGGACAAAATGAAATAATATATGTGCTAGCACTTTGCAAATGTGAGTTATTATTTTCTGGTGTTCTTTGTATTTTTATCCATGAAAAAAAATACATGTAGTTTCTCCTTATAATTTTTGTTGATTGCATCTTACACCTGTTTTTGCTTTCCCTGTGGTTCTGACCATCCTTCTGTGCCTGTCTTTTTGGGCAGTATTTAGGGGCATTTTTTTCTTTCTCAAACTGTGACTCTGTTTCCCCCCTCAGATTTTCTGTTTCACAGTTCTTTAGCAAGGAGCTCCAGATCACCTGGTTACCTTTGTCAACTTCCTTCTTTTGTGCCAAATCTCTCTACTTAGAGACTCTAGTATCTTCAGAGTTGAAAAGGACCTCACTTTTTTTTTTTTTTTTTGAGACAGAGTGTTACTCTTATAGCTCAGGCTGGAGTGCAGTGGCACAGTATCAGCTCACTGCAATCTCTGCCTCCCAAGTTCAAGTGATTCTCCTGCCTCAGCCTCCTGAGTAGCTGGGATTACAGGCATCTGCCACCATGTCCGGCTAATTTTTGTGTTTTTCGCAGAGATGAGGTTTCACCATGTTGGTCAGGCTGGTCTCAAACTCCTGACCTTAGGTGATCTGCCCACCTCAGCCTCCCAAGGTGCTGGGATTGTGAGCCACTATGCCTGGCCAGGATCTCACTTTTTAAGATGAGAAAGCTGAGGTCCAGGGGTCACCTGGGAGGAAACTGCCCTGTTTAGAAGTAACAGTCTCAACAAAAGCCCAGGCCTGAAGTCTTTGGCCAGATCTTTCTTCACCAAATCTCTAGCAAAGGACCCTTCTCTTTGGACTTCAGATCCAAAGCACGTATCGTGGCCAGATAAGGTGACTCACTCCTGTATCCTAGCACTTTCAGAAGGCAAGGTGGAGGACCATTTGAGGCCAGGAGTTTGAGACCAGCCTGGGTAACAATGTCAGACCCTATCTCTACAAAAAAAAAGTTTTTTTTCAATTAGCTGGGCATGGTGGCACACACCTGTAGTCACAGCTACTTGGGAGGCTGAGGTAGGAGGATGGCTTGAGCCTAGGAGGTTGAGTTGTAGTGAGCTGTGATTGTGTCACTGTACTCCAGCCTGGGTGACAGAGTGAGACAGTAAAAAAAAAAAAAAAAAAAGCACACGTCTTAATACTCTCCTCTTCTGCTCAGAGCCCTATTTGTTGTTGAAACCATGACCATGTAATAGTATATATGTGTATATATATACACATACATATGTATATATACATATATTTATGTATATAGTGTGTGGTATGTGTGTGTGTGTGTAATCATATGAGGGCACTAGGTACCAGGTCCTGGGCCAAATGTGTTATACAAATGATTTCATTGAATGGACAGAAATACTCTAAGAGGAACCACTGTCCCCATTTTATGGATGAGGAAAGTGAGGTTCTGAGATGGCCATTAGCTTGCTCAAGGAACATAGAAGCGGGACATGGCAGAGCTGTGATTCCATAGCTGTCTGACCTTAAAGTCCCTTCTGCAAACCACTCCACACTCAACGCTCTGAATGTCCCCTCCTGGGGCTTGTCAAGTGCCCCCGGCAGCCTCGAACACCAGGTTTTCTCACTGTCTTTCTTGTAGCCTCTGGAATCTCACCTCCTACTTGAGAAAGCCTTCTCAGATGGTTTGAAGGGAGTTCAAGACCGTCCCGTCTGAAGGTGGGATTCTTGCTGTCACAGTAGTGAGCGACTCTCACCCTTACCTGCTCTGTGAATGTTTGACTCCAATGTGTGCAGATGGAGTCATGCTTGTCCCTGCCTGGCTTAAGCCCTGTCAGCATCATGGGTCTTTTGGCTGCTGCCTTATTTCTGTGGAAAAATTAGCAGCAGCCCACTGGGTATTTCCAGTGAGCGAAGGTGGGTTTTATGTCGAGCCAGAGTAAGCATGTGTAAACATGGCTGCGGCCCATGCTTCAGGAGGGCTGTGACCCGTGGGCCTTGTTTTGGAGAAATTTGCACAGGGAGGGGTTGGAACCACCTCACAGCAGGAGCAAGCAAAGGAACAGGTCACAGAGCTGTCCCCCTGAGTATGGAAAGCGCTGTCTTGGGGAAGTGGGATTTCGCTTCTGCTGTGGGTCTCCACAGAGGGGAGCAGGGAGCTACAGACACACAGTTAGGGTGAATTACAAGGAAAAGCAGCCGTATCAGATCTGTCTTTGGAAACAGGGGGTGCCTACCCAGTCAGAACTGTCCCCAGATGGAGCGATCTGGGCACAGGCCGAGCAGCCACCAGGCAGGGGTGATGCAGAGGGTCCACCCAAGAGGGCTCAGCTGCTCTTGCCTGGGAGGTTCTGGAGGGCATGGACAGCCTCCTCCAGTGTTCATTACATACTCTTCCAGGGGATAGGGGCCAACTTGGCTGAGCCTGCCAGGGTCCTGCCAGAGGCTTCTTATCTGGTTTATCCCATGTAATCAGGGATTTATTTTATTTTATTATTTTACTTTATTTTTAGAGACGGGGTCTGGCTTTGCTGCTGAGGCTGGAGTGCAGAGGTGTAATCATAGCTCATCACAGCCTCAAACTCGTGGGCTCAAGGGATCCTCCCACTTTAGCCTCCTTAGCAGCTGGGACTACAGGTTTGTAACACTGCCTCCAGCTAATTGGATTGCTTGATTGATTGACTGACTGATTGGTTGATTGATTTTAGAGACAGTATCTCGAATTGTCCAGGCTGATCTCAAATTCCTGGCTTCAAGAGATCCTCCTACCTCAGCTTCCCAAAGTAATGGGATTATAGCCGTGAGCCACTGCACCCAGCCTTTAATCATAGATTTTTGATCATGCAATGAGAGGACTGCCAATTATCAGAAGAAGAGCAGGAATTTGTCCCTCTCTGCCCCCTGTGGCCCTGAACAAGACACAAGGGGGCAGTAAATTCCATGACTAAGAGAAACACTGCATTTAAGATCCTAGACTCTCTGAACCACAGACCTGCTGGGAGTCATCAGGTGGTCTTCTGGTTTCCAGCCCACACTTGTTTTCTGGGTTCCCTTCTGGGTGTGCCAGTCCTTTCTTCCTCCCCTTTCCTCTTTATCCAGGGGACAGGCCCAGTATCTGCTGGAGATACGGAACCTTAGAGTTGCCCCACCAGCAGAGTCCCCTGTGAGCCTTGCTTAGAGTTGCTGAGAGGCTAGTCAGGGACCAGGGACTCTGTATGGACTCCCTGTACGGGCTGTTTTCTCTTGGCTTGAATAAAAAAATCTCTCCATGTGATCTGGCCTCCTCTTACAGTATTCAGAGGACCTAGCACCTGATATGAGTCCTGGGGCAGTGGCCCTGCTGGGCTGTGCTCAGGGTTCAGCATTAAATCTTAGGGCAGATTTGGATGAGATTCCAGAAAAGGGAAAATTAACCTCTAGTGACAGGAAGCATCAGTGATTGTCTGGAGCTGGGATGGGGGTAGAGAACTGACTGCAAGAGGTGGGAGGAAACCTTTTGGGGTGGCGGGGATGTTCTAGATCTTGATGGTCACAATGGTTACACAGGTGTGCACATTTGTCAGCATTCAATTGTTAACTTATTATTGATGCATTGTTAATTTAAAAACCAAATCTTAGAACAGATTGTAGCAAGTGTCCATGTCCAGCAAATGGTTAGATAGGCACCGGTTTGCTTAATTCTGAGGTCTCCTGTTCAGCCACAACAAAGAATATATAGACCGTGCAGATGCGTGGAAGACTGAAAATGAAATGATACTGCACAAAAAAGGAGGCACTCGGGTGGATATTCACGGCGAAGACAGCAGCTCTCTAGGGCTCTGTGCAGAGAGAGGGCTCACCCCTGGGAAAAGACCTCCCTTGCTCTTGGTTGGCCTGGACGTTTTGAGCAGCCGTGACGATATCCTGCAGAAAGTAGAAGGAATAGTCCCGGGGAAAATGGGGCCCTGCTAACATGTCAGTAATGAAAAGGGGCGACCGAATCCAGATGGAAAGCTGATCCTGTCTCTACTTAAAATGCTGATATTTTATTCACCTTGGACTTTTTCCATGAATGCAGGTTTTAAAAATATCTCATTAAAACATGATTTATCTTGATAATTAGGGCACTCTCTTAAACTGTGCAGCATGAGCAAGTGTCTCACTTCATCACTGATGTCCAGCGCCAAGGGAAAAGCAGGAAGACAGAACCAACCTCTAGTCCAGAGAACTCAGCAGCGATCAACCATCTGCAGGCCTGGAGTGGGGAGAGGTGCGGCTATGACCACAGCTGGGAGGGACCCAGGACTGCCCTGGAAGGCTGAGTGGGGCCAGAGAGACCTGCCTGGGGCTGCAACTAGGAAGACTGCTGGGCTTGGGGGCGGGGGCATGACAGACCATGGGAGCATTAGGTGTGCTGGGTCCAGGAGTGGCTCCTGATGATTTGCTCCTTTGAGGGTGGCCCCAGAGTCTCCCCTTGGCCTGCTGGGCCTCTATGTAGTCTGCTTCCTGGCTGCCCTCGGGTCTGGAGGGAAATCCATCTATTGTGCCAGAAATAGTGGAGAAGCTCAGGAGTGGGGTGCAAAGTAGGGAAGGGTAGGCAAGGACTCCAAGCAGGGAGTTGGGAGGTGATTTTGGGTGAAACTGCTGATAGACTCAAGAGGGAGGAGCGCTGCCCCAGGTGGGAACTCCAAGGAAGATAAGGCTGGGAATAGAGGGCCCAGAGCTCTGTTTCCCAGGCTGGAGCTTCAGGAAGGACCTCCCAAGGCATTGGGGTAGTGGTGGCTGGAACAGCTATGGAAGTGGAGAGTTTAGTCTCAAAACAGTAGTGAGATTTTCTCACACTCAATCTCCTGGCCAGCTGCCGGGAGATGTGTGCTTGTTTGTATGCTGACATTTTTTCTGTAAAACTCCCTCTACTCCACATGGAAATTGTTCCCTGGTAGGAAATGACCAGGGCATGAATGGTCCTGATGGCTGGCCTACACTCTCCCTGAGGGGTTGAGGGAGTGGAAGGTAGGTCCCAGGTGCTGCTTCCAGCCTCTGGATGCAGAGTAGCCAAAGGTGGGCCTGGCAGGCGTCTTTCCAGAAGGCAACCAGGGAGCAGGAGGGAGAAAGCTAGGGACCAAGGCCAGAGAGAGGGAGGCAAAGGAAAGGATGGGAGTCAGAGAGAGCCTGAGATTGTACAGTCAGGACAGCAAAGGAGGCCGGGAGGAGGGAGCCAGGAAAGGGTCAGGCCAGGGTCAGGTGCGGAAGTAAAAAGCGGTGCAGGCTTCTAAGGCCAGCTCTGCTGGGGGCGACATCCAGGTCCTGGCGCTGCCCCAGCGCTGGCCTTCACTCTCGAAATAGGAAAACCACCAGCAAGGGATTTCATGCCTCAGAGTCCCCCCAAACCCCCACCCCAACACATTAATTGTGTGTTTTCCTAGGGCAGGGCCCCTGCCTTTCTGTCCCTTGCCCACTGCCCTCACTCCCCAGCAGCCACTGTGTGCCTGGTGCTGAGCAGTCAATGCTTGCTGAGCTGAAATGCTGTTGGCAGGGATTTCACATGGGTCAGACTGCTTGATCAGTGAGGACTCTGGGACCAACCAACTTGTGTCTCTGATGGAAACCAAGGAAAAGAGCAAGAGGTGAAACTGACATTCCTTCGCAGCCTGCCTAGTGCCCCAGGCCAGGCACTTCCTCTGGTTCTACATGTTCTGTTTTCCTGATGGTGAACCTGTGAGACCTTGCAAGTTCCCCTCGGAGTTGGGGTTCTCATTCCCCCTGACTGGCCCAGGGTCCTGAGCTTGGGCTCTTTCCCTAGGTTGGTGGGGCCTTCAGGAAAGGAGGCTGAGGTTGCCCTTTGGAGGCCAGTGGCTTGGGCAGGGGATGATGTGGAGGCCCTCAGATCTGGCCGGGGTGTGCCAGGGCTCAGTGGCAGCCAGAGAGGGGCTGGGCTCCTCCCTAGGAGAGAGGGAGGAGGAGGAGCTGAGAACATGAGGCTAGTTTCTTCTCAGGAGGACGGATGGGAGGGGTCCCTTTGTCAGGGTGGGCTAGCAGATGCGGCAGGAAGGGGATGTGGCCTGTGGCTGAATTCTGCTCTCATCGAAAGCCAGGGAAGTGGCTCCAACAATAAGCCAAGATTAGAAAACTCTAGGGTCCCTGCCTGGGTCTCTGGGGGTTCTGTCCCCTGCCTCTGGGTTAGATTTCCCTCAACACCCTAAATTGGGGCACAGTTTCTGCTGTGGGCTAGAAGTTTCTATTTTCTTGAGTGTAAATGGGGAGGATTCAAAAACTTCCTTTCAGTTTTTGCTCAGACGTCACTGCAGAGAGCCCTCTCTGACCATCCTGTTCCCAACTGCCGGGACTCCGCCTCCCCTACCTTCTCCATCC